ATTCTTACTGCACCTACAGAAATAATCAGGTCAACTTAATGCAAACAGATTAGTTTAACTGTGATTATATTTAGCAAATAGGGGTAATTGTAGAGGGAAAAATTGTGTTTGCTCTTTGTAGATCCTAGATTCTGATCCTGTTTATTGTCTTTGACATCTTGTTAAATGCCTGTAAACAGAATTAGGTCCTCAATTCTTCTACTTTCTTCAAATATCTGACTATGACTTTCCAAGCGAATGTTTCCAAGTTTCTCCTGCCCTTCTGACTTGGGAGTCACCGCGCCCAGAGAGGGCCCTGAATCTCCTTGGAAGGGATTATACCAGGTCCTCTTCACTATCCTGATGGCAGCCAAACTTCAGGGACTTGAACCTTGGGTACACAGCTCACAGCTAAAGAGGGCTCCACCTGGCCGCTGGGCCTGCACAGATGCTGGGGACCCTCTGAATCACATGGATAAGGAAAAGTAGCCGACATCCAGGCAGACTGCTCCCACCTGAGGCACCAGATCAAGACTCCTTACTTTCAGGAAAAAACCCTTCTTTTCTTTCCTCCCTTTATTCTAGCATTGGTCTGGAAAGATGACACCTTCATCTGTATCTCCTGGGCCATTGTTAAAGGGAGGTAACCTTTCAGACTTTGGGATTTGTTTTTAAAGACAAATGTTTTAAAGACATGGTCTGGCCATGAAGGCAGAATCCATTCATAATGCCACCTTCGTGGAAGTGGACTGTGCTCCCACAGGGTCTGTCTTTGTGGCAGCTTTCATCCCCTTTGGGCCTTTGAATGCCTACAGGGGCAATGCACCCTCTCTAAGAAGGTTAGCTAACAGTGCCCCTAACTGTCACAAGCAAACCCAGACACCCCATTGGTCAGCTCCCCTACATTTACATCATCAAGTTAGAAAGGACCTACCGGGCGGCTTTTGTGATTCAGGATTTCCTTCCTTTGGCAGGTCCCTAACTCCCTGGTTAGGAGTGAATACAAATGAGGCTGTGATCAGGTCATTCTCCTTAACGCTTGAAAGTGTGGCAAAAATCCAGGGCTGGAGCACTAGCTGCAAAGTGAAAATCCTTAGACTCTCTGGCCAGAGTTGTTTTCGTTTCTAAGTTTTTATTCATTTATTTGCCAGAGAGTGAGAAAGAATAGAGCAAGAGAGGAAGCATGGGGGGTGGCGGGGGTAGAGACAGAGGCAGAAGCAGACTCTCCGCTGAGCAAGGAACCCAATGTGGGGCTCCACCCCAGGACCCTGGGATCACGACCTGAGCCCAAGGCAGATGTTCTATCAACTGAGCCACCCAGGCGCCCCTTGGGAGCTGTTTCTGATAATAGGGCAGTCTTTGATGAACTTTGAGCTGAGCACAGAGTCAGGGCTGTGCCCAGCACCTCCCGCTGCCCCGGGATGAACACTTCTGGGGAAGCCGAAACTCACTTCCGGAAGGGCACCAAGTGAGCCATTTGGCTTAAAAAGGGAACCCCTTCCTTGGGGTCTTTCTTTGCCTTACTTGATTTTGATGGATTTGGGTCTTGGGGCCCATGGCTCCTGAGTGCGCTCTAAACAGAGAGAAGTGTCCCGCTGATGACAATCACAGTAGTAATCCTGGGGCACTGTCCTCTCTCAGAAGCTTTACATGCACGTTCGGAGGCCTGACCCCCAAGCAAATGATCTCCCTGAGACCGGGGCATTAAGAAGGGAATGGGGTGAACGTCTAACTTAAACAGTGTGAGCCTGATGTCATGACCTGTGAGTATCACGCAGAGCAGCAGCAAGCAGCGGGAGAGCTTCGCAGGGACGGCTGGGAAGGGCACCCACGCCTTACGGTTTCATCTTCATTAAACCGAGAATCCGATCAAAAGGAGGGAACTGTTATAAAAGAAACAGCGGACCCCAAATGGAGCCACAGACACTCAGCCCCCGTCAGCCAGCCAACATTCAGGATCTAACGTAACTTCAGTTCCAATTTCTCACAGGAAGCTATCTTTTAACCTGGTCAGCCCTAGCGAAGTCGTCTGCCTGACAGACCCCGAGCCTTCCCCCAGAGGAAAATGACCCTGCTTGAAATAGTCCATTCTCTGCTAGAAGCTTCCTTCCCCCATCCCCTCCTGCCAATAAAAGCCTTCCATTTTGTAAGGCTCCTCAGAGCTCCTTTCTGTCTGCTGAGATGAGATGCTGCCCGGTTCATGAATCATTAAAGAAGCCAATTGGATCTTCAGATTTCCTCAGTGGAATTTTTTTTGAATGTTGTCTAACGGAAGAAAATAGTGTCCGTTTCTTCACACTCTCTTGTCCAGCTTTACCACCTCGTGTTCTAGTCACCCTGAGGGCTGCCTCTCCTTCTCTGGCTCACTTCACCTCCGGCGTTCCTACAACCCCCTCCTCATGTTCCATAATTTGCTCAAAGAACAGGTCACATGACTCAGGGGGGCACTTTACTCGCATTTCCTGGTTTATTTATGAACAACCTGATGAAGGGCTACATAGAGGGACGTCCAGAATGGTCTAGAGCTTGGGAGCGTCTGTCCCCTCGCAGTTGGAAGACACCACCCCCGGAGCATTTGGACCCCTTCATGAACCCAGAAACTTTCTAAACACTGCTGTTCAGGGGTTTTTATGACCCAGTGTTCAGCCCCACCTTCCCTCCCTTCAAGGTGAGGGTGAGGCCGAAAGTTCCAAGCCTCTAATGCCTGGGTCTCTCTGGCGACTAGGCCCATCCTGAGGCTATGGAGGGGCCTACCTTAAGTCACCTTATTAGCATAAACTCAGCTGTGACGTGGTGACATGGCTTATTAGAAGAGCAAAACACGTTCCAGTCACTCAGGAAATGCCAGGGTTGAAGGACTCCCTTCTGGGCCGGGAGCACAGGGAAAAGACCAAAGTCGTCTTAAACCACACCCTCGATCAGAGTTCCCTCCCGGACCTGGCGAGGGTCCGAATCACTGTTGGGGCCTCTGGTGGGACTGTTCTGGGCATCATGGGTCCAGTGACAGAAGACACTTGGGGGGACTGATGCCACCTGCTCTCTCTACTTGGGTGTCTCCCAGGGTGCCTCAGATTTAATGGCCAAAAAGGGAACTCTCGATTTTCCTCAGAACCCTGCTTTCCATTCATGTCTCCTCCATCTTGGTAAATGACATCATGACGTCCTGTGTTCTCTGTGACTGGTCCCAGTTACCTGAGTGGGGCCCCTTCCCCTCCCCTCACAGCTGTCAGTTACCAAGTCCTCTGGCTTCTGCCTCCTTGCCAGAGCCCCAAGCTCCCTTGTCCCCACCCCACAGAGCCATTCCCGCCTCATTGCTTCTCATTTGGATTCCTGTGTCTGACTTGCCTTTGTGTGTTCCCCACCTCTGTGGTGTTTGCTCTTATTTTCCTACCAACCACCACGAAGTTCCAGAGGATACTTCCAACACCCAGCCAGCCTCCTTGTGATGCCTTCCTCGATGCCCCCACCAACACCTGCCACCAGGTGCCTCTCGGACCTGGGCAGGCCTCTCCTCCAGCACATGCCCAGCTACACTCTGTACCTCTGCCCCACCAGCCTGTGGGCGCCTGTTTTCTTGGACTTCGTATTCTTGGTGCCAAACCTGAGAGCCTGCCTGGTGGCTGGTGGTAGTGATGACTGTTTAGCAAAGGAATAAAGCAACGAATGGTTTTCTCATTCTCTTTCCCAGCTTTCTTAAGACTCCCAGTCTTTCTTAAGACTGTGTGCTTCCGTGTTAAGTCTACACTCTTTACAAACAATCCCGGATGTTGTTTAGGAGGCAGACTCTCTGCCTGCTGAGTGTTTTCTGTCCCTATCTCATGGAGGGTCTGCCCCCAGGCCCTTGAAGGAGATGCCGTTGACTGTCTCCATCTTATGAGGAAACTGAGGCTCAGAAGCGTTCAAAGCACTTGCTCAGGCTCACCCAGCTGGTTAAGCCACGGAGCTGAGGTTTGAACCGAGGTCTGATTCCAATGCCAAACACAGCTTCTGAGGCTCCTTAAGACCAGGCTCCGCTTAGCCCTGAGGCTCATCTCACAGGGGTCTCTGGCTGTGTTGTTATTCCCCCAAGTCACCTCACGTTCCTGCTGGTGTCCCCTGCAGAATACTTTCTCTCCCCTCCTGTGCTTGCACCTCACCGGCCGCTGCAGTACTACCCCCAGAACAGACCCCCAGAGGGCAAAGTCGGCTACTGGGACAGGAAAAGACTGGAATCAATCTCTCTCGGCCCCCAGGTGTTGAACTTTTAGCCAGACCCTTCCCAACCTGGGTGGGGAATGCTGATGCTTATCTTGGGCGCTGGGCCTCGGCCAGGGCAGCCAGGCGGAGCGGGCCCCAACTGGCCCAGGTGAGGGCTCAGAGGGTGCCCGGATCTAGGCCTGTGGTAGGCACCTGCCAGCTCCCACTGCCCCCTCCCAGGCCCCGGCTCAGCAGCCCTTAGTGCATAGGGGCCTCTGCTTGGCCCATAGTCCCAACATACCTTGCTCAGCTGTTTTCAGAGGCACCCCCTTCACCCCACCTCTCCCACCTGCACAAGGTGGTCCCTCAAGCCTGCCCCATGCTCTGCCCCCTACAGCCTCCTGGCTTTCAAGGAGGGGCTGAAGATCAACCATTAGTTCTTAAGTGGGAACAAGTTTCAATCGTGGACGGTCAGTCCCAATAGGACCAGAGAGAGCGCTTGGCTATGGTGAGGGACACAGCCCTAGGTCTTCTTCTTTTCACTCACCAAGGGGGGTTGGAGTTAAGGAAAGCAAGAGGAGCTACCCAGCTCTCCTGACAAGATCCACAAGATCTCTCATGATGTACCCCCCGCCACCACACCCTGCCTCATGGACTGTCTCGACCCCTTGAGCAAGGTCCTCTTTCAGAGTCCCCTTCTCCCAGGAGCACCATGGTTCAGCTGGTACTCAGCAAGCCGGCTTTTGTGTCTCTCCCTTCACTGTTCTGGCCACCAGGCTGGACTCCTCTCAGGTCCGCTGTCCTGCCCCATCTTCCCCCACACACTGGCAGTATCTCCAACTCACCTGAGTCTCTCCCTGAGAGCCATGTTCGAGAAGCTGGGAAGATAGCTGGCTAAGAAGAACCCTCGAGCTCGGAGCCAGGGTAGAAACGACCAGTTCCTGGTGACTGGGACAAAGCAGCTCCAAGCCAGCTGTCAGAAACCACACCCACAGGAGCGGGCAGAGAGAACTGCCTGGAGAGGGACTCCCTTGGGGGGGCGGTGCCTGCTGGAGGAAGCTGGCCCCAGGATGGGGTGAGGGCCTGGAGCCCCTTTGGCGCCAATCACCTGGAAGAAGGTGGATCTGAGTAAGGCCAGCGCTGGTTGGCCTGAGGCTCTGAGCTATTTTGTATTGACTTCTCTTACCTGCCCGAGGGTCCCTATCTTGGAGGGTCAGTGTCTTGGAGCCCTGGGAAAGGTGTGTGGGTCGGGCTCTGGTATTTGCCATCCAGGGAAAATCCTGTTCTGCACGGAGCTTCAGCCAGATCTCAAGGGCACTGGTCCCTGAGTATGACCTTGGAGAACTCACCATAAAATGGGGTGCATATGCCAGTCGCCCAGGACAGTGTTAAGAGCCGCACAAGATAGAGGATATGAAACCATTCCGTAAGGTTTACACTGGGCAGGGTTTTTTAAAAGTGCAGATTGTGAGCCCTCAGAAATCAGTTTTGCAGATCATGGATCGTGACCAAGATTTAAAAGGTATGAACAGGAAGAGAATTGAAAGGAAAATATCAGAATGTACATAAGGCTAGGTATTGTTTTGTGAAGTTGTTGCTTTGAATACCTATACTTAAGTGCGTGTATGAGAGTGGGAAACGTTTTTCTAAACCGTGGCTCGTGATCAAAAAAAGTCTGCACAATTCTATGTAAAGTGTAAGCAACAGGAGTAAATGCAGGTTTTCCTGCCCTCTGAAAGAAGTGTTCTTTCTGGAAACTTCCATAAGCAGAAAGGACGTAGAGTGACGACGGTTTAATTTCATCATTAATTTATATGGAGAGTGCTTTCAGTGTTCCCAGACCCAGAAAGTAACCCGTCCTGGGCTTTTCTGCTACGTTAGGACACACCCTGCTAACAGACACACAAATAAGGGGAGGCGGAGCGCTGATGTTCCCCGACAGCCCGCAGAGCCGTGGGGGCTGGGATGCCGAGCGCCCCGGGAAGGAGCACGGGCTTCCATCTGCGGCTTGCTGCCGAACAGACGCTAAACTAGCTATTTTCATTTTTTGCCTTTTTTTTTGCCCCCAGAACAGCAAAAACCTTGTTGGGATTTGTTTTGGTCCATGAAAACAGGGACTCACGTAGGTCTTTTGTAAAAGTGAAGTGGCCTAACAACGAGCTTTCGCAAGTGGGGAGATCTGCCTGCATTTAGAGCATCGCCCTTCACACGCAGAGAAGGAATGGCACCAGTATTTGACTGTGTCCGTCCCCTCGACTGCACCACAGCCTCTTTTCGGAGGAGTTGGTGCCCTCCTCCCTCACCACATGTGTTCGAACAAACTCAGGAGACACCTGGCTTTGACTTTCCCCAGAAGGGAAAAGGGGGTTCCAGGGTGCAGAGACTTGCCCACACCAGCCGGGACCTCAGGGCGCCTGCCCAGCAGTACCCAACACACTCCCACTTTCCCTGGGGCTCGGCCCCTGGGCCCTGGCCCAGCAACCCCTCCAGTCCCGGCTCTGCCCTCTGGGTCATCACAATCACCTGCAGGCTTTTTCTCCTCCTCCTCCAGGTACTAGTTACAATTTAACTGGCTTTCCGCAGAGGTGTTATCAAATCCTAAAGGTGATTGTGCCTAATCTTCCTGGGCCCCGCCCTTGGAGACTGATTCAGTGGGGCCTCAAACCCACATTTTAAACTGGCAGAAACACGGCCTTAAGGAAAAAAACCCAGAGAAGGGAAGGCGCAGGAGGCCAGGTTGCTTCCCTCTTCCCTTCCCCAGGGGTATGAGCAGGAGTATAAGGGGCTTTCACGCAGGGCAGAGGCTGCTTTGCTCACCATGTGGCCTGGTTCACAGTGGCACTGGGTGACACAAGCCACTGTTGGCCGTACCCATCTGGGCCACCCCACCCAATTTCTCGTGTCCCCCCCCCCCCCGCCCACCTCTGCCTTGGCATAGCCGCCTACGTCTACTGCACAGTGCCCCTTCTTTATTCAAGGCCTAGGCGTCACCTCAGTGAGGACAGTGACTCGAACAATGAGCTATCCCAGCATCCAAAAAGTGCTCAGCAAGTGCAGAGTGGACCAGAGCCATCCCCAGGGCGCTCATTCCGGATCGGGAGCTGCCGACAGCAACAACGGAGGGTGTGTGCTTGCCGATTCAAGAGTCTGGGCTCTGCCTTCTCTGCTGCAGACATCCCGGGCCCAGCAGCATTACGGCTCCCCTGCGGGAAGGGGGTGGGGCACAGGGGCTCAGAGCTGGGGCTCTAGAGGCTACCATTCCAAGGGACACCTGTGAAAATGAGGCCGTGTCTGCGTTTCTCGATGGGGTTGAGGGCACCCTCAGATGACCTGGTCGATCGTCCCTCCCCCAGCCCAGGGAACCACCCCTCTCCTGGATGAGAAGGAGCCAGCGGAGAAAAGCAGAGAAGAAACAGATTTTACAGATTTATTTTTAAAAAACAAAAACAAAAGGTTAAAAAAGTCCTTCATTTCCAACCCTGCCTGGGGGTGTGAGTGGGGAATAGAACAAGCTGAGAACGGTGCCCCCCCCTTTCCTGGGGAGAGCCCTGCTCTTCCCCCAGGAGCCTCCGAGGACAGGGCAAGTCAGAGGCAGGCCCTCGCCCTTCCTGCCCTGCCTCCTCTGCAGGTAGCTCAAACTGCTAGCAAGTTCAAGAGGCAAAGAAGGGTGGAAGCGGGAGGCCCAAGGCTGCCTTCTTCAAGGGAACGTCACCCCAGCTCTTCTCTGCCCTCCGACGTTCTCTGGGCCCCCACTCTGGGGCTCCCAGGGCGGCGGGCGGGTGGGCAGGCAGGCCAGGAGGCCCAGCCCGCAGCAGCTCCCATAATGCCATCTGTGGCACAGCAGGCCAGTCGGGGGGACTTCACAGTGTGGGAAGGACTTCGGAGACAGCATGCCCACTCTGGAAAGGAAAACCTCCTGATCTTCGTCGCTTTCTGATCTCGCCTCTCTGCACGGAGGCTGCCCTTCTTTTCTATTCCCCATCCTGAGGCTGAGTGGAGTCCAGGACAAAGCACTAAGTGGCTGTTTGCTACAGAACACCTGGAGATGCCAGAGGGTGGCTCTGGGCCCATCTGCCAGTCCAGGCTCCTACACAGTCATCCAGTCACACACACAGCGTTAAGGCGTCTGTGCCAGCAGGCGTGGCCAAACCGGGCCCAGCTTCTCTCTCTCCACCTGTGGAGGGTGAAGGGGGAGAACCCCTGGCTGCTTCAGAATCGGGCTGAAGGGGGAGAAGCCGGCAACGGAAGAGTTAGCCAGGCCCGGAGGGAGAAGTGGGAGAAAGGCAGGCAAGGGCTTGCAAGGCCTCGATCCAGGCCTGACAGCTGCCCTTGAAAGTGACCCAACTCAGGTTGGGAGCCCTGACCATATACCCCCTGGAAAATGGGGGACAGAGAGAGGGGAAGAGAGCGGGGCTAGAGTATTGGGACTTTGGAGGAAGCCAGTGCTATCAATATTTACAAGCATAAAGCCCCATCTTCCATGCCACCTACCTCTCTGCCCCTCCCACAGAAAGAAAGGCCCCTGAGAGCCATTGAGGGGGTGCCAAGACCTCCTCACCAGCCACGCCCCATAGGGAGAGCCCTTCCCTCCGACTGGCCCCATTTCTGGGCCCCTCAGGAATGTCTGTCTGGCTCTGCTCAGTCGGGAGGAGGAGCCCCGGGCCAGAACCCTGGCTGCACCAGCCGGCCCTAGGAGTCCTTGAGCATGCTGATGCGGGCGTAGATCTTCAGGGCAGGCCCCAGCTTGATGTTCATAGCGCTCATCAGGTGGTCCTCCTTGAGCAGCAGCAGGGCCTGCCCATCGATCTCCTGGGCACGGAACTCCTCTGCTATCTCCTGGCAGCCTGAGGGGAACACCAGCACAGACAGCGTCAGTTAGAGCTACTGGCGTTCACGCTTGGCACTCGGGCGTGTGAGACACAGGATCTCCTCGAACCCTCCTAACCACGCCCTGAGGAAGACTGTCTCATTTGATAGCTTGAGACAAGCTAAGTGACTTACCCAAGTGATCCGTGCCTCTTAGTCACTCATATCCTGGTCAGAGCCCCACTTAATGAACGGGCCCGACCTGGCAAAGCAATGAGGTGCTGCGGGAGTGACAGCTTGTGATTTCTGAGGCCCAGGCTGCAAAGGGCACGGCAGCTGCCACTTTGCTCTTCCGGGGAGTTTACTTTGGAGGAAGCCAGCGACCATGTCATGAGGACACTCAGAAGAGTCCCACATGAAGAGGAACGGAGGCCGCTTGGCACTCTGTGCCACCTGAATGGGGCACCCCGGAACTGGGTCCTCCGCTCCAAACCTTCAGAATACCCCAATTCTGGCTGCCATCTTGACTGAGATCTCATGAGATCCCAAGCCAGCGCTGCGCAGCTAAGCAGCGTTTCTGACCCACAGAACCTGAGGTAAGAGCCACGACACTCTAGGGTGACAAGTGCAGATTCTGGTTTCTGGAAGAGGGGCGCTGCCGTGGCCTGGGGAGCGGCAGTGGGCAGGAGCTGGAAGGACCCTGAGGAGAGGGTCAGTGACGTGTCTGAGATACTCTGAGGGACTGGATAGAAGTCTGATGGCCTGTGAGGAGACTGGGTGAGGCTTCAGGGAAAAGAAACTATTTCTGGAAATTGGGAGAAATGGATCCTTGCTGGGAAACGGAGAAAATGTCACGACCCTGCTGCAGGTATGACACAGCTAGTGTAATGTGCCTCAACAGATGGCACGATCTAGCAGAGGACGTTTCTAGCAGAACAGTGACGGTGCTGCCTGGCTTCTGACTGCTGCTCGCAGGAAAATGAGGACAGATGACGTAACGGTGAAACTGTTAAGACGTCAAGGAGCCAGGATTTGCTCAACTGAAAATCCTTGGCCTCTCCAGATAGCAAATGATGTCAAAACTAAGAACTCATTTCTAGACAAAAATCAAATCCAGGACACAGATGAGAAAACATGGCCTAGAGAGGAAACTGAGGGGAGGACAGATCTTGCACCAAGACCTCAGAAGCTCGAAGGTGCTGCCTCAGAGAACTCTAAGGATTTTATGGGTGTGCCTCACAGATCCTGGCCACCTGACAGTAGAGCTTCAAAGACATTAAGGGCCTGTCCCTCAGCTTCAGAAGAAACCAACATAGAGAAGGGCTTCTCCTGGAGCAATTCCAGGTATGGTTTTTGTTTAATGGAGTAAACCCCACAAGAAGCATTGGAAGCCCATGGCAACTTTAAGACAATTGTACTGTCATAAACGCTACTTGAACCGAAAGAGTCTGAGGTCACAGAAAATGAAGAGCAGCAGGACCAGGCTGAGAAAACTGGTCCTCTCAAAGCTCACGTTACCTTTCATGGGAAAAAGAGGAGGACTCAGAGGCTGGAAGCAAGAAGGAAAGATGATCATTCCCAGGCATGGAGTCCTGATCAGGGAAACACCAACACGTGCCCGACTAGATTTCAGAACGGGGATGATGGGTGACTCCTGTATCCTCCTGCACTGTTCTTCCCTTTTTGAAGAGCATGCCTACCACAGTGATCCTACACCCATCCCACATCTTGGGTTTGTGGACGGAATGGGTAATGTTTCTAGTTCTCAGGTGTTCAGATCGAGAGGAATGCGGCTTGAGTTGCTATTCCACGCCCGGACCAGAGTGCGCTGGTGAGATCCCAGGCTTTGAATTACTGCTGCAAGGGGCCGAGACTTGTGGGGGCTATGGCAGGGGGTGAGGGTGGTCTGCTCGAGGGAGGAACATGAATCATGGGAGCCAGTGCCTGGTGAACTATGGTAACCAGCTCCAAATAAACCCGGCTTCCCTTTCATGTCCCTGTGGGCATGACCTGTGTGATACAGTGACACCATGTAGTTTCTGTGTTTAGATCAAAAGGACCACAGTGACTTCCACCATGTTCTCCTGGATCGCCCCCCTGTGGGGACAAGTGCCCACCATATCCTAAGAACACGCAAACAGAGGTGTCCTGAAGAGGCCGGATGGGGAGGAAGGGAGGTCTCCCGTGGGCAGCCATGCCCTCCTTGAGAATCAGGGGCATGGGGCACCTTACAACAGGATCCTACAGCCCCAGGGAAGCCCTGGGCCACATCTTCATCAAAACCTCATAAGAGACCCTGTGGCAGAAATGTCCAGCCAAGCCACTCCCACATTCCTGAACAACCGTTAACTGTGTGGTGATTAATTCCGGAACGCGGCAAGAGATGACTAATACCCTGAAGTGAGGGGCAGAGCCAGGATGTGAGCCCAGTCGTGTCAGACAGAGCTCTTGACCTCTGCTCCTACTCTGGTCTGAGTAACAGTTGTGCGCTGCTGTCCACACCCGACGTGGCCAGCAGCGGGGTGCCACCGGCAGAAACAAGAGCCGAGAAGCTCTGGGATCCTCCGAAAGCACCTGTGAATGGTGGGAGGTAGGTCTTCAAGGTTCACTTCTAAATTCTAGGCCGCAGAACCATGTGCACCCCCTGGCAGGGTCTGTGCGGTTCCCTCCATCGCGTCCTTCCACATTGGTGAGCCTCCGCTCCAGCCTCTCCGGGGGCTTGTGTCTCCGACTGGCCAAGCCCTGCCTGCCTTACCTTTCCCAACTCTGACGTCCTCCTTGACCACTTCCCTACACTCCCACCAGACTCCTCTGGCACCCCGTCCCAGGAGAGTGACAGGCCGGGCACACGGTCACCCCTGCAGCTCACGCAGACCCCTGCTGTGCCAGGAACCACCATGCATCACGGCCATGGGTATTTTTTACAGCTGCGTCCTGTAGCAGCATATATGCTCTTCCAGGCAGGGATCTCACGGAGTCATGTCTGCACGGCTGTTCCCAAACCCGAGTCACTAACTGAGTCATTTCCTGGTGGTGGCAGGATGGGCTCTCCCTCTGTCCCAGGTGGAGGTCGCTCTCCCAGTCTGGCACGGGACCCCCGGGACCTTACCTGGCAGGGAGCGGATGAATTCGTAGACGTCTTCCACATTCCACTTGGTGGGCTCGCTTGGCAGGAAGTGGTGTCCCATGCCCACCAGGTCCCGCACATGCATGTCTGGAAGCTCCAGGTCCCGCTGGCCTTGTCGCCGGCGGGAAGTGGACGAGCTGGCTGAGATGGGCGACAAGGGCTCCTCGTAGCTTGAGTTATCGGAACATCGGCTGGAGTCCTCCTGGCTGTGCGTCAGCTGCAGTGCAGCTGTGACTGAGAGGGGCACGGCGCCCGTCGGCTGCGAACAGAGAGAAACCGCTGGCTTCAGGAGGAGGAATAAACCCACCAGGTCTCCAGCAGGAAGATGGGCAAAGGCAGGTAGTCTCCCCCTCCTACCTGGTCTACGACCACCTACCTCTGAATGCTTAGATCAAAACGCGTCCTCTGGGCTGTCCCCTCTGGCGTGATGCAGAGCCAGCCCCTCCAGCACCCGCGCAAGCCCTGCACCATTCTGATCTGATTCTATCTACGCCTGTTGTTTCTTCTACATGTGGGGTTTTACACCAGGACTCTGGAGGTCTCAGGCTTAGGTGCTATGAAACAGCATGTAAAATTTCTGTGCACGTACATGCTGGGTCTCAGCCTTGGTCAGATTCTTAAAGAGCTTTACAACCCAAGTGATGACAAGCAGCCAAAGCCATCAGGCTCTGACACGTCCCACGAGACTGTGGGTTCCCACCGTGCAACTTAGAGCCGGGCTACAGCATCCGTAAGGACCGCCCGTGTTCCTGGGAGAGGCTGCAAGAACTCAGTGCTCAGGATTCCAGGAGGCAGCAGGGAGCAGGGCTTCTGAAGGGGGTGGGCTGCCTCCTCACCTGGCACTCCGTGTAAGACCCAAGGTAACGGGGACAGTCTGTCTCTTCACGGGACTGGGCGGCAGAGGTCCCACTTCCACGGCCCCAGAAGGACGGAGGCAAACCGGAAGGGGAGAGGTAAGGAAGGGCAAGGTCACTGATGCAGACAATTACCTCACAGGCATCCGTGGGTCTAAATGCAGGGGCCTATTGTGGGGCTTGGGAAGGGCTTGTGAGAAATGAGAACACGACGGAGCAGATTTAAGTCAGCCACGGAAAAGGAATGTGGGTATTCCCAGTCTGTTAGGGAGGGAAGCTGGTGGGGACTTGTGACAATGGCGCTTTGGACCCTGCCAGCCGCTCACCTGCTTCTTGGTGTCCTTTGTAAGTGTCGGCAGGCCGGCTTTGCTGGCCCGACGGCGGTTGTGGGTCGTGGCTCCTGCCTTCTGCAGCTTGCTCCGGTCCGAGTGGAAAAGCCCCACTCGCTTGGTGCACCCCACGTTGTACCTGCCAGGATCAGGGAGACGGGGGAGTCAGAACAGTCACGGGGAGTGCGGCCAGCAACAGCGGAGTCCGTCTGCATGCTCTGCTCCCAGATCCATCAAGGACTACTAGCTCGGTGACTTTGGGCAAGCCACTGGACCTCTGAGCCTGTTTCCTCACCTGGAGCTGGGGATGACACGGCTCACTTTCCAAACCTGGTCTGACAAGTGTATGAGCTAATGTGTGGAGAGTGCTGGACACAAGGACTTGGGAGCACGGTAAGAACTCATGGCTGACATGTTCTACACTAAACATGACCTGTGCCAGAAAACAACTGTCCTGCTGGCAAGGACAGGTGCACCTCAGAGACACCGCGGGTTTCTTTCCAGGTCAAAGCCAGTCAGATGACTGTTTCCTGGTTCACATAAAAGTAATGTTTACGTGACACTGCAGCTCATTAAGATGACAGTGGGGGTGCCTGGGTGGCTCAGTCAGGCTCTGACTCTCGATTTCAGCTCAGGTCACGATCTCAGGGTCATGGGATTGAACTCTGTAGCAAGTTCTGCACTCAGTGGGGAGTCTGCTTCTCTCCCTCCCCTTTTGCCTCTCCCCTGCTTGTGTGCACACCCATGTGTGCGCTCTCTCTCAATAAATAAATCTTTTTAAAAAAATTATAAGAAAAAAAGACAATGAAGTTTGCTGCTCGATGGGCTCTTCTTTTAATGAAGGATTTCTCTGAAGCCTGTGATGCCGTTTGATAGCATTGTGCCCGCAGGAGAACTTCTTTCAAGACTGGAGTCAATTCTTTCAAGCTCTGCTTCATCAGCTCAGTTCATTTGATTTCTAAATCCTTCATTGTCGTTTCAACAGTCTTCACAGCGTCTTCACCAGGAGGAGACGCGTCCTTAAGAAACCACATGTCGGCGCACCTGGGTGACACAGTGGGTTGGGCCGCTGCTTTTGGCTCCGGTCTAGGTCTCAGGGTCCTGGAGTCGGGTCCCGCATCAGGCTCTCTGCTCAGCAGGGAGCCTGCTTCCCTCTCTCTCTCTCTGCCTACTTGTGATCTCTGTCAAATAAATAAAATCTTAAAAAAGAAAAAAAAAAAAGAAACCACATGTCTTGCTCATTCCTAAGAAGAAACTGCTCGTCCATTCCGGTTTTATCAAGAGCTGCAGCCGTTCAGTCACAGCTTCAGGCTCCACTTCTAATTCCAGATCTCTGGCTGTTTCCACCGCATCTGCAGCCACTCCCTGCCCCACCCCCGCTAAACTCTTGAACCCCTCACAGTCATCAACTTCTTCCAAACTCCTACTAATGCTGGCATTTTGAGCACCGTCCCTGAATCCTGAATGTTCCTAATGGCATCTAGAATGGTGAAGCCTTTCTAGAAAGTTTTTAATGGACTCAGAACCATGTGCTCCCCTAGCAGGGTCTGTGCGGTTCCCTCCATCACATCCTTCCACATCAGTCTGCCCAGATCCACCAGTGGAATCTCTATTTACGGCAACGTTACAAAATGCATTTTTTGAAAAAGACTCGAAAGTCAAAACTACTCCTTGATCCACAGGCTGCACAATGGATGACGTATTAGCAGCACGAACGCAGCATGACTGTCATCGAGCGTCTCCACCAGAGCTCATGGGTGGCCAGGTGCACTGTCAGTGAGCAGTAATATTCTGAAAGAAAGCTTTTTTTCCTGAGCAGTAGGTCTCAACACTGGACATAAAATACTTACTAAACCATGTTATAATGGCTGTGCAGTCACCCAGGCTTCCACTGTCAAGAGCACAGGCAGAGCAGACTTTGCACAATTCTTAAGGGCCCTAGGATTTTCAGAACAGTAGATGAGCACTGGCTTCAACCTGAGTCGCCAGCTGCGCCAGCCCCTAAAGAGAGTGTCAGTCTGTACTCCGAAGCCAGGTACTGACTTCTCCTCTCTGGCTAGGAAAGTCCTGGATGGCATCTTCTTTCTAGAAGTGTTTCGTCTGCACTAAAAATCTGTTGCTTAGTGTAGCCACCTTTGTCAGTGATCTGAGCTGGATGTTCTGGAGGGCTCCCTGCGGCCTCTCCATCAGCCCCTGCTGCTTCCCCTTCCGCTTTCACGCTATGGACCCGGCTTCTTTCCTTAAACCTCATGGATCCACCATTGCAGGCTTCACTCTTCTTCCAGCAGCTTCCTCCCCTCTCTCCACATTCAAAGAACCGAAGAGAGTTAGGTCTTGCTCTGGACTGGGCTTTGGCTTAAGGGAATGTCGTGGCCGGCTGGATCACCGATCCAGACCAAACTCCCTCTATATCGACAATGAGGCTGTTTTTGCTTTCTTACCACTGCTGTGTTTGCTGGAGTAGCAGTTTTTATTTCCTTCAAGAACTTTTCCTTTGTAGTCACAACTTGGCTGTTTGGTGCAAGAGGCCTCGCTTTCAGGCTGTCTCGGCTTTCAATGAGTGTTCCTCACGAAGCCTCATCATTTCTAGCTTTTGATTTAAAGTGAGAGGCGTACCACACTTTCACTTGCAACACTCAGAGGTCACCGTAGGGTTATTAATGGGCTGAATTTCAATCCTGTTGTGTCTCCAGGAACCAGGAGGCCGGAAGAGAGGGAGAGAGATGGGGGAAGAGTCCGTTGGTGGAGCCATCAGGACACAGATGACATTTACTGATGAAATTCACTATCTTATGTGGGTGTAGTTCGTGGCACCCAAAATACTTACTATAGTAACATCAAAGACCACTGATCACAGATCACATAATATAGTAATAATGAAAGAGCCTGAAATGTTATGAATGACCAAAATGTGACACAGAGACACAAAATGAGCCACTGCCTTTGGGGAATGGGGGCCAACAGACTCGCCTGATCTGTAAAAACAGCGCCATTTGCGAAGCCCAGTAACATGAGGGCCGCCCAGAGCTCGGCAAAGCTTCAGAGGCACTGATGCCCTCCAGCACAGTGCTGAGAAGGGCTCGATTCCGGCCAAGGCAGAGCACCTCTGTGTGGGGCTCGAGAGGCTGATATTCTCCTGAGGGCTCAGGGCTTCGGCGTCCATGCCTCTTTACCTTCGTATGAAGAGTACTCGGGGCTTTACAGTCCCATGAGTCTAACTCCCCAACCCTATGACGCTGGGCACAGTTACCTACCCTTTGTGCCTCAGTTTCCCAGTGGGTGTGAAGGGGCTGGTGGTAATCCCTGCCTCGTGGTTACCCTGAAGACTAGAGGACACCAGGCACACCCTCTCCCTGGTGCAGAGCCTGGCATGCGGCAGGCACTGAGGACCTGATGCTGCGCCTGACCTGGGCCTCTGGCCTACGCTGGGTGAAAGCTCACAGACGGGACATCTGTACCTAGAGCAGGGGCTCTGGACAAAGGGGCAGTAGCTGCCACAGACTACGGGGTCAGTGGGTGGGGCCCAGGAGGGACAGCCACACTAAAGCCTGCTTCCCTTCCTGCTCCCTTGAGTTCTCCAGTTCTCCAGAGTTCTTCCCTCTCCCTTGAGTGCCAGGACCAGGCAGATTAGGGACGCAGTGTGGCTTTCAGGCAGGTGGAGGGGACTGGAACGCTGCTAAGCTACACCTGGGCGCTCCTGGGATGGACTGTCACCAAAGGGGGTAGGACCCGAGGTGCAATCCTGACGAGAGGGAGGGGCTGGCAGAGCCGTGGGGCTGAGGCCACTTACCTCTTGGCACACGCCATGGAACAGAAGCGCTTGGAACGCTTGAACTTGTAGGCAAAGTCCACCCGGCCACAGAGCTCACACTTGAGCTTGAGGGGAGTACCCTCCTCTTTGGATTCTGTAAAGTATGGAAATTAGAGGAAGTGTAAAGAGAAGAAATTTCCACGAGACCCTGGACAGCCCCCCATGAGGCCTGCCTTCTCTGCTCACTTCCCCGTAGCTGTGGCCCGCAGTGGCGGACGAGCTTGGAAAATGACCACCCGCTTTTGCCACTGGTTTGGGAAGGGCCGTTTCCCCCACCCTAGAAAGTACCCAGGGATGTCTGCTGGTGACCCCTGGACACCTGACAGGATTTTTTCCCCAAGCGCTAAGAGCCCGAGGCAAATGCAGGTGGTCAAGAATCAGCAGCCCTCTTTATGACCCTGGGAGGCTCACAGGGAACACTCCAGGTGCGCTCACATCTGGTTTGGAATACCTTGATCTGTCTAGTGGGCTGAGAACCTGGATCCCAGAACCCAGGAGCTCTGTACCCTCTGCAGCGACCACCAGTCAGTGGCTCAGGCTGCAAGGGCCGTCCTGGCCTGGTTACTGTGCTGCCCGAGAGCTGCGCCCTCCGGCAGGGAGAGGACCACACCCTTGCCTGCGCCACTCCCACCTCTTACTAATGACTCCCACAGGAGAAGTGACTCTTGGGATCCTGTGGCTGGCTGGCGTGGGGCTGGAGTAGAGGCCGGGGAAGAACAGCTCCCCAAAGGAAGCGACCTTCCCCCTTCCCTGTTTCCTAGGGATAGTGGCTGAGATGGGACCCGGAGAAACGTTTAGCAGATGGACATGTTCCTCCATGGACATCAAGAGAGGAAGGGTGTGCGGCCAGCCTGCAAAGCCCTGGCTCCTCCCTGGTCAGGTGCAGCCATGCAGGAGGCCTCGGCACTTGGGCTGGGGGATACCTACCCTGCAGATAGGGCTCCTCCATCTCAGAGTCAGTGGTGGTGGTATGATCCTGCTGGGGAAGTTTCTCAGGCAAGAACCCCTGTGCATACTTCTTCTTGAGATTCCCCACCAGCAGGGACGAGCGTCCCACCTAGAGGACAAAGTGACATGGAGGCCGTGAGGGTTAGGTGGGGGATGCTTCCTTGTTCTCCAGCCTCATCAAAATCACACATACAACGCAGCGAGGCACAGATGCCAGCCTCTACATTGTCATCCCAAGCGTGTCTTACTCAAGGCCCTATCTTGCCCTGTAGCTCATGAGGCAAGATGCCGATTGTCACGGAAGTGCAGCAATGGCTTCAACCCAGGACCACTGGGCGGCTTAGGAAGTTAGGAAAATAGCTACTCTTCCAAGTGACTAAGGGGCAGAGATGGAGGCCGCAATCAGGTCTCCCACTGGACCAGAAGGACAGCCAGGGCCCGGGGCTCACGCACCACCAGCAGGAATATAGCCGAGGCCCCGTGGGAGGCAGGAGACTCAGCAGCCATATGTGATTTCCTACTGTCCTCCACCGTATCGCTGTTCTACCCAAGCCAGAGGGGCAGACAGCCCTGGAGGAGCGCAGGAAAATGGACTCCGGGCCACAGACAAATGTCCTCCGAGGTTGCCAGGACCCTAGACTGGCTTATTCACTCTTCTGGTCCTTCCTTTGCTGCCTCTGCTCAGGCGGCTGGTGGCTAGTTCTCTAGGGTGATGTGGGGGCGGTTACTCAGTCTGCAGCCACCCTGTGGGAGGGGGTGGTTTCTGCTGTTGCTTTAGGAGGCCACAAGGAAGACCCAGTCTGAGGAGGGAGGGGATACGGCTGGGCGGGAGCTACGTCTAGCTTAGGGGCTCTGGAGAGGATTCCTCTGCCATGGGCCCTGAACCACCTTCAGAGGGCAAGTGGACAAGAACCTATTTGTGTCCTGGCATTCTGGAAAGGCAGTTCACCCGGCTTGGCTCATCAAGCTTAGAGTCTGCCACTGACTAGTCAAACCGCTCACGGACCCAAAGAGTGAGCAAAAGGCAGATGGTGTCCCATGAAGATGGTTTCTCTCACAGATGATTTCATCACGAGAGGCCAGTGTGCCCCTGCCTTTGGGCTCCTCCCAGCCACAGAGCAGTGGCCCCCGTCCTCACCAACTCACACTGCATGGGATCAGCTTGGGGTGCTTTGTTCTAACAAGCTATTTTCTTGACTCTTTTTTATTTCTCTTTGGTCTTGCGCTTTCCCTGGAGACATCTGATTGTGCCCTTTCTAAAGAGCCCTCACCCTCATTCACTCTTTTCAAGGCTCTGATCCCAGAAAAGCAGCTCAAGCTACAACCTTGTTCTCTTATCTTCATTTCAGACACATCTTGAAAATTCTACTCTACACACTTCCCTTTTGTTCTCTAACTGGTTAGAGTTTTGCCACTCAGAGGTTCTGGCATTCAAAACTGAACAAGGTCTCATTTCCCAAAACCCACTGTCTTGCCCCGAACACCCAATGTGAACTCTCTTCTAACTAAGGCGGTGGGGAGGGGTCACACAATACAGGGACACAGCTGAGTCTGTGTGTGGACCCTTCTAACCAAGGGGCCTTGCCAATTACTCCTACTAATCACTGGTCCTTTCTGGACAATAGGAAGACACTCGATCCTAGAAAGAAAATGGCTCTGACATTCTTTTGGGAGGAAAATTAGCAAGGAAAGAGCAAACTTTACATTTTTTGGAAATTTTACATGGAAATGTAAAAATATTCTAATACACATCCAAAATATACTTCAAAAAAAAAAAAAAAAGAAAGAAAAAAAGAGGGGAAAAGAAGTAGTCCGTACCGGGAAAGGCTCCGCCCCCTCCTGGATCACAAACCCTTCGATAACATGCGTCAGGATTTGGGGTTTCACAATGGCCTGTGGTGGTTTATTCTCACCATTCTGGGGGGCAGTGCCGGTGATGCTGGAGGCAGAATTTCCGTTCCCTGAGGTCATGCCGGGGCTGCTGAGGTCGGTCAGTGCATGAACAATGCCCTGCCCTGTCTCTGCACAAGGGAGAGTAGGAAAACACAAGCAGGGGAGGTCAGAACCGGGGCGGGACCAGCAGCAGAAAGAGGGCGGGGACTCAGCACGTGCCTGTTTTTTTCCATGGAGCCAAGACACAATGCAAACCAAGCAGTTCCCGCCCTCAATGACCTATTTAAAAGTGGTGGGGTGGACGGACACGCCAGCAAGGGTAACTCTAATCAGTTCTGCAGCGAGGCAGCCCATCAGCTAGCAGTATTTCTTAATTTCCCAACCGTGCTAAGAACAGTATGACCAAGTTCGACAGACAAGAATTCTCTTTGGGGAGTTAAGACCTTGGTCAATACTGATCTGGACAAACAAGGTCACCTTCAGTTCAAGGGAGAAAACGTATTTAAGGCAGTATCTACAACCAGGATGAAAAGGGGCACTAGGTATAGGGGCTTGGAGTGTGACAGGGTTTTGAAGGGGAGAGATATTACACCATCTATGAAGGTCCATGGAGAATGCTTTGATTTTAAGCATCCTGTGAAATGTCAAAGTACTGAAACCCAGAGATGAATCCAAAGGGAACAAGAGGGCTGGGTCCCAAGTGAACACAGTGCTTTCCGGAGGCTGGTTATCTGGGGTCAAGCGTTACGATAAACCTGAGTTCAATTTCTCCCCCAAAAGGGTCGCCAAAGGCTGTGGGGCAGCTGCTGCTGGCCCCGTGCTCTTGATCAGGCCCGTGGTTCTGTTCTCAGCTCCATACAATCTGGTCCTCAGCCAACCATGGAGTCCTTGCCTCTGTGGACAACCCTTCCTGAGGTCTCCCCACCTCTGTGGGCCTGCTGGCCTTCCTCTGAAGGACCCGAGAGAGTGCTCTAAGAAGTGTGCTAAGAGGCGCCTGGCTGGCTCAGTCGGCTGAGTGTGCGACTCTTGATTTTAGCTCAGGTCATGATCTTGGGGTGGTAGGATCAAGCCCAGACTGGGCTCCACACTCAGCAGGGAGTCTCCTTGAGATATTCTCCCTCTCCCTCTGCTCCTCCCCCAACTCACGTGTGTTCTCTCTCTCTCAAACAAACAAACAAACAAACAAACAAACCAAAAAATCAAAAACCAAAAAACCCAGGTATGCTGAGGTGCTCAGCACAGGGAACCTCCTCTTCTCCACTTGGCCGGCCCCTCTCCTGAGCTGCTCCAGGCTTTAAAGGTATAAAACTTTACCTCACTTTTGCCACCCCCTCCCTGCCCCCTTCCAGGACCATTCTCTACCACCACCAACTGTGGGAGCGAGGTTGCCTGTAACCTGGAACTTCCTAAAAAAGAAAAAAGAGAAAGAAAAAGCCATTTCTTTATTGCAACAAGCCTATTAATATTAAGCATAACCCTGTGTGTGTTACATATTTGAAAAGTGACTTCAGTACATGTGTTAAGTGATTTTTGCACAAGACTTCTTATGTCGATGCTCCTATTTTCCTGTTAAAAACTGAAAATGTGGGGAGACTGGGTGGCTCAGTGGGTTAAGCCTCTCTACCTTTGGCTCAGGTCATGATCTCAGGGTGCTGGGATTGAGCCCCATGTCAGGCTCTCTGCTCAGCAGGGAGCCTGTACCCCGCCCCCTGCCTGCCTCTCTGCCTACTTGTGATCTGTCAAATAAATAAATAAACTCTTAAAAAAAAAAAAAAAACCCACACAAAAAAACTCCCCAAAAAACCATTTTCTTAAAATAAAACAAAACAAAACAAAACTGAAAATCCCACCAAGGAACAGGAATTCAGTGTCTGATATGGAGCATAGAGAAATAACAATAAATTAATTTTAGAAAAGGTTATAACTGGCTTGTTTTCTTACTAGTAGGTCCTAATGCTTGATAAACCAGAATAAATCTGGTTTGATGAAAAAGAATGTATGGTGACCCATGCCGTCACTCCTCAGACTTCCGTAATCCAACGGCAACTTCAGAGCTGAGCAGCAGGGGAGTCAGCCAAGAGACATGAAAGATGAGATTGCTTTAAATTAGTTTTTGTTTGAGACAGAGTCACACCGGTAAGTTAGAAAGATTCCCTTCAGTGTTCATAGTAATTTGGAAAAAAATGTTTGACAGCTTTGACTTTACTGTAGAGATGGAAATTTTTCCCTTTGGAATTAGTCTTTCGAAACTATAAAGGTATTTGGCAACAACAACAACAAAATCTTTCCTTAACTGTTCATGAATAACTAGCAGGACTGAGTCAATCAAACTGAATCAATCAAGTTACATTTCCCTGCTTTTAAATGTTAAACATTTAAGACTGCATTTTCATGGTTACATTTTTTTTAATATTTTAACTTTGCAAAGAAATACATATATTACTTAAAATGATAAGTAAATGTTAAAAAACAAAACTGAATATATAAGTTAACATTTTATTTTTAGGTGGTGCTTATTTCCTTCCGGTAAAATATCCCATGATTTCTCTAATGAACTATAGATTATAGAATCACAAGACTGGAAAGCCTGGTTCAGTCCCTTACCAATGCTTGAACCTTCTCTATAATAATCCCACCGAGTGATTTCAGGGCATTTGTTTGAATGCCTGCAATGACAAAAGAACTTACTATACCTCTTGAGTAGCTCCCTCTGTGGACAGTTCAATTAAAAAGTTCTTATTTATTAGGAGCCAAAAACCTATCTCCTGTGCATTTCTGCCCACCCATCCCGGTCCTGTTCCTTAAGACCACGCAGAACAAGGCTAATCATATTTGTGTAATGGGCAAAAGCACCGGCTTAGACCTGGCTTAAGAAACTCCTCTTTATCACTCAAGTGAATTAGGGGCAAGTCCTAGACTCTCTCTGAGCCTCGGTTTTACTAGCTGTGAAATAAGGCGATTCCAATACCTCCCCTGCGGTGCTGGGTCCCTCCGCGGACCGCAAGACAGAATCATCAGCACAGCAGTGCTAGCACACCGGGACATGCTCAAGAAACGCTCTCCGTGCCAGAAAGCACAATGCTCCCGACCCCGGCGCGTCTTCTCCCCTCTGGGCCAAGCTCCCTCTGCTGCTTCAACTATTCCTTGCACAAAAGGCTCCAAGTTCCTCATCATCCTACGTGTCCTGTTTACGTCTTTTCAAGTCAGGGACCTGGTCGTTAACGAACAGAAAAATCAAGTGCACTGATCTAAGAGACTGTGTTGGTAAGATTTTGGTTTTGTTTCCTTTAAACACCGTAGCGTTCCTGAGTGAGAGCACAGGAGGAGGGAATAAGTGACTCCCTTGTGTCAGTATAAGTACCTCGGTGGAATTACTCCATTCTCCTTGAATTCTGGGATCACTCCCACCTCCGGCTTTTCATGGATATTCATCACCAAACTGCTTCTGATATATTGTCTCCTTTTATGGGATCTCTGCATCCTGACTTGACTACCCCCCCGCCCCGCCCCCGGCTTCCCTCTTGTCTCAGAGCGGTGTCTATTATGTGCACTGGGGCACTGCAAGACCGGGCGGCGCGGGCATAACTCTTGAGGTCAGATTCTTTCCTTGTGCCAAATACAGGAGTGAACAGATACATCCAGTAGCTCAGAGCTGACAGAGTCGACGCTTAACTCTGGGAAGCAAGATTTTGGAATCTAAGTTTTTCAAAAAGGATCTTATTAAGCAAGAGAACAAACAAATCAATCCTTTCACCCGAACATTAGAAATGATCACTCTCCATTCTAACTCTGGGGCAGGCTGCAGAAGAGACAGAAGCCAGGGGACAGAAGGAGGGCATTTTATGAATATACAAAGGTTCGCAGTCCTCTTGGAGGCCAAGGCCCCCTCATCTGCTTTAAGAACAAAGGAGTTTGGGCTATTTCTGGAACGACCAAACACAATCTCTCACCCCCTGCTAAGCCCAGCATGCTGAGATTAATTTAATCTACTTCCCCCCCTCTACCAGACTGCTCCGCAGCCTGTTTGAGGGAAAGCAGCTTAACAGGGGAACTTGCACAAACCTGTCCTGCCGGCTCTGAGGCCAGATAAAAGATAAAGACTCTGTCTTCGGAATTCTTCCTTTCTGAATTCTCTCGACCAGTCCCTGAGGCTGGCGCGGCTGCTGATTCCCACAGACCTCAGAAGCCGTTACACACAGCTAGGTACTGGAATCTGAACGCTGGAGGCCAGGATGCCGGGAGCACGAGGGGCTGTGGGAGGGAAGGCAGGCCAAGCTTCGGTGGTGGTGGAGGTGCGGGGAAGGAGAATTTAGTCCTTCATGAAGCTGCCCACAAGGGGCCGAGGATTCAGATAGGAATGAACAGGACAGTATGTTCTGGGGAAGCTGTTATACTATATATGTCTCAGGCTCTAGGCTGCTTCTCAATTCTGGTCTCATTCATTGGCTCTGGCAGCAACAGCCCTTGTAGGGGCTGGGTAAAACACGAAGAACCACCCAGCAGCCTGTTTGTGAGATGATCTGCTTCAGGGTAGGGTCCCTTCCGCTAGGCCGAGCAAGTTTCTTTAGACAAGGGATATGTCCTGTCACCTCTGTATCCTCAGAGGCTAAACCCCATGTCCCCTACAGGATACGTACTTAATGTCTGTTAAACTGGATGGTCTAGAACCCACGGTCTCCATCTGCGCAGGTTTCCTTGGTCTCAAACAGGGAACCTGGCACCATCTGAGGTTTGTAAATTACCTACCGAGGCTGTAATGATTAGAGAGCAGTCGGGCCAGCACCTTCTACAGCACTGGCATTTCTGAGCACCTAGTTATAAAGAACAAGAGCTATTCCTTGGCCCATTTCTTCTTGTTTGGGTGGGGATTTCTTCAGTAAGAAGGAGCATTAAGTTGCCCTGCAGGCTGGAGTTCTGGATTCCCTGGCCCCTTTGAAATATGTGTGCGGACTCCAGGCATCGAGAAAGGCATGATGACCGCTAGAGTCAGAGGCTGGGAGGCTCCTACAAAGACAGCCTCGCCTGCAGGACCAGCCACTAGGTGTCCAGAGAGGCTGAGCTCTCCTGCCCATTTAAGAGAGAGGCCTGGTTGGCTACAGCTCTGCAAAATCTGGGCCATTTCAGAACC